CCCCCCCTCCTCACCGTGTGTGTGTCCCCAGGGACCGGGGCGTCCCCCGCCGTGACCCAGAGCCCTGCAAACCGCCCCTCAGTTTTCATCCATCCCGATCAAATTTAGACTTGACGAGCCTCCAATTAATCCGCCCCTATAATTTGCTCCAAATCCGCGCCAAATCGGGGTAAGCATAGCTTAATTTAACGTCATTAGCGCAACCATTTCCTCCATGGCTTGTTTTAGTGGGTTCTTGTTTTGTTGGGTTTTTTTTCTTCTTTTTCTTTTTTTTTTTTTCGTGACGAGCGCTCTGCTAAATTGAAGCAGGAAACAGATTGAAAGGCCGCCGTCCAAAAATGTTAATCAGCAGTAAAAAAATTTAAAACCGGCCCTTGGAAAACGCCACACTGCTCCGTCGGCAAAAAATAATAATAATAAATAAAAAAAAATAATCAGAGGCCAAAATCCCCGCGCTGTCGTAAAATCCCTGGGACCATTTTAGATGATTCCTCGCAAAATTGGGGAGAGAACCAGAGTCCCAGAAAGCTCCAGGGTTGGAGCTCTGCTGCTTAATTCCCCTTTTGCTTCCTCTTATATTGACTTCATGTTGCAAACCTGACACGCGGCCGCCTCCGGTTGCAATCCACTCCCGTGCAAAGCAGGAGCAAAACAGCCCCGATTTCAGGAGGCTGCACGTGCTCCTGCTTTAATAAGACATAATTTGCAAGGAAGAATCTGCTCCTGGCTATCCATGGTAACTCCTGAATCACAGAGGATTAATAAAAAAAACTTGGGCTGCCATCCCTCGCCTTCAAAATGCTGCTCTGAAAAGCGTGAGGCTGGGCGTGTTTGATGGTGAAACCGTTGGGGATCGAGTGATTTTTGTCAACTGATGGCCCTATCCTGCTTGAGACTTGCTCTGAGCAGGCCACGGCCTTTGCACAGGTGGGAAATAGAGCCCAAACTACCCAAATTTGTGTCTGGAAGACAGTAAAATTCAGCATGGTCTGTGTCCTCACTGCTTCAGCAAAATAACAAAATCCTCTAAGTAAAGCATTTAAACCAACAGCCTTTAAACCTGCTACATGTGGCCTGGAAATAAGCCATGAAACTGCACAATGAAACAGCACGTTGACTTTCTTTTTAAGGAATTAATTTATTCCACATAAACATCCCGAGAATAAAGCACGGCCCCAGCGTCAGGCGAGCGATAGGGCTGGGACACCCAGGCTTCCCCAGGAGCAGAGCTGAGCACGGGATGTTCGACCGCTGCAAATCAGCATCCAGAGGTTGGATTTGCCTCCAAATCCACAACAATTCCCCCTTGGGAAAGCAAACTCCCTTACAGACAGCCGCGTTTGCAAGGTGGGGAGCTGCCCTGTGCGCGTGTGCATTGATTTCCTCCCCCCAAAATCACCACATCTTTGGCGGTTTAAAAAAAAAAAAAAAAAAAAAAAAAAAGCAAGCCCTTCATTTAATTTCTTCCTCTTTCTCCCTTTTTCTTACAACTGCCTGGAAAGGCACACCCAGCTCCCGGCCGCTGTCTCTGCGTGGCTCGTTAGGTTTCCAATTAACAGCGGGGCGGGAAGCCGGTGGGTTTGGGGTACAGAGTGCATCATCACCGCGGAGGAGCACATCATCCTCCCCAGCCTGACTCCAGTATGAATTTCTTCTCACTCCAGCAGAAGAGGCTGTTTTATTAATAACAATTTATTAGCCCTCGATACCTGAAGAGGTTCTCCAGCGATTCCCAGAGCCACGTTTGCTGGAGTAAATCAGGGAGGGAGACGTATTGATTTACGCCTGCTCGGGTTTCCTAAGCTACTGGGTCATCCTTTATTACTGTTTGCTTTTTCTGCGGAGTTGCAGTTTCTCAGCGAGAGGCGTTGCAATGAATTGCCAAAATACCCACTCCCGGTGTTTTTGTGGTAAGGGGATTTGCCCTTACGCACTTTTTTACAACATTGTGGCCTCGATTTGTGGACACAGATGGAGCAACACTGATATAAACCCTGAGTAATCAGTGGTAAATCTGGTCTGTGCCTCTACTGCTCATTTATAGCGACATACAGGGACCTCAGGAGTCCCTCGGCTGAACCGGCTGGAATTTGATGGGTATAAAACACCAGTGAGAAAATGAGGAGAAAGCTTTCAAAGGGTGACCCGTAGCCTTTGGCTTTTAAACCTTTGGCTTTTAAACAGGATGCAAGCTGCTGGAGCCGGGGGTGCTTAGCAGCACGGCCTGCATCACTTTCAGGACTTGCTGCCTTGCTGCGAGGACAGGGGTCCCATCTGCAGCACGATGGACGCAGCTGGAGGCTGTGCCATCCCCTCAAAGCCCTCCTGGTCTGTCTAAACAGAAATTGCTGTTTCCCATCTACCCGGGAGACACCCAGCTACCTCTCCCGCCTGTCCCTGGGGTCTGGCTCCGCGCGTTAATCCTTGAATCGCTCCCTTGCTTACCCCATTCAAGCAACCAGAACGTGCAGTTCCTGGCTGGAGGCTGGTTTACCCTCTTTTTGCAGCCTGTGGGATACATTTCCCTTCGCTTCAGTGGCTCCTGGAGCAGCTCCCGTACTGCTAGGAGCCTGCTTTCCTGCTCCGGGCAGCGTGCATCCCTAACATTGACAGCAAATGACACCTTCCCAGCACAGCCTTCTGCTCCCCTCCCTGACTTAACACCTCCGGAGGGGAAACCTCTTCGCTCCCACCCTCGAGGACTCTGCCTCCTCCTTAATTTATGGGTGCATGCGGTAATTTACCTTGCACTGGTGTGCAGGAGTGGTCTCGTCTCCATCCTCCTGCCTGTTGCAGTCTCCAGGGCTCAGTTAATTTGCTTTAGTTCAATCCTGCTGACTTTTCTCTTTGGCAACCCCTGATTTTTCTCCTGGCAGCGGGAGGATTTGGGGTTTATGACCTGGGAGCGCTTTGCCTCGTCCTCAGTGAGTGCAGTCCTGGGGCTGAAGCATCCTGGTCGGCAGGAGAGGAGGTTGTAGCAGGCAGTTTAGGAGATGACCCTATTATCTAAGATGCCCTGAATTGCAACAGCCCCTCTGAAATGCCATCACCCAGGAGCTCTGGGAACCAGACCACTTGCTTGGGTGACTGAGGATGGATTTAACAGGTATCTATATGGAGAAAGAGAGGTCTAGGAGAGAAGGGTCGTAAGACTGGCGTGATGAGCTGAGTAGAGGATAAGGGCAGAAGAAGGACATTAAGGACATGTCAGGGAGGATGTTTCCGTCAGGAATAGGGAAGGATTTGTGGCTGGAGCACATCAGGGGCTGGTGTGACCTTGCTGGGACACTGTGGTCACTTTGTCCAGGGATAATAAATTCAGCCCAGAGCTGAGGAGGGTGTTTTATGAGCTGATCCTAAAGAGTCTGGCTTGCAAATTTTAGCAAAATAAGGCTGAAAGAGGGTACAACTCACGTCTACAAACGCACGGGCGGGGAGTTATAAACCAAGGAGAGAGGAAAGCTGTTACACTGAAGAACAGCCTTAGCACAGGGACAAGGGGGAGCAAATGTCCAGCAATAACTGGGGTTGGAGATCAGGAGAGCCCAGCCCTTGGAGGGAGGAGGTTTTGGAGCAAACCACCATTTCAACATGTACCTGGTGCTGTCCATGCACAGGGGAGCAGCCTGTGGCATCCTACAGCCTCTGAAAGTGCCTTAAAATGGGAAATACACTGATAAAATATAATTACCCCTGACTGGGGAGCATCATTACTTGCAGCATGGGGTGGGGCAGCCCTGGGTTAACCCTAATAATTTCTCACTGATGGGACTACAGAAATGCTTCTCTCAGCCTGCTGGTCCTCGTTATCTCTGGGGTACCATAGTGGATATGGTGACAGAGAAGCTCCCATAAGGTTTATTTTGTTATCCCACTATTCTTTTTTAAAAGTTAAACTATTGTGGTTATGCTGCTATGATTAAGGGCTTTTCCCTACCCAGTAATATCCCAATGCCTTTGGCATTGCTTGAAATTCCAATTATTAACCAAAACCCAGCAATGGGAACAAAACAGCAAAAAAGAAAGGTGGAGGAAAAGCTGGGACAGGCTACAGCCTTAATGTGCTGAAACCCAGGACCCAGCTGTATGGGCGCCAAGGGAAGTCATCTAAAATGAATGTCACACCTGGTTATAAATAGGGTGGCATGCGTCGCTGTGCCCATTAATGTAGTGGCACGGCGATGGGTTAACCCTTTCCCTCACCCTCCCACGGTGTTAAAGATAGGCAGCCTCTGCCCAGCCTTGGCAGCATCATTTTCTAGCTCCATTGGTGAATGGAAATCACCTGCTGTACCCGCATCCACTGTGCAACATCAGGCTGTGCTTTCACCTAGCAGCAGAGCCCATCTGACCCAAGCAAAGACGTGCAAATTGCCTTGTAATGAGCCCATGCTTATTCCAGTGAGATAGCTCAAAAACCTCATTGCCATATACCAAATTTCAGCAATCCTGTGCTTCACAGGACGCCGCCGCACCTAGTGAGAGAGCACTGAGTTCCTACTACCTATATTTATTATATAGTTAAGTGAAGGAGCCAGCATCTCCTCTGTTTTAGCTCTGTTTAGGCTGTATGACCTTCTAGTAAGTAGCTGAATTATCCATATGTATGTATGTATAGAGAGGAGGCAAGTGCTCATAAGCAGTCTGCAAAACAGAGGGGATTCAAAACTTCTGGGGAATAATTTTTGCTCCCTGGGTTTTGTCTACTCTGCCACGTAATGTTTCAATTTGGCATCTTGAATGACCATTTATTTATAGCTGAATAAGCTATGGAAAAGGGAGATTTAAAGTATTGCTCTCAGGATAGAGATTTAAAAAAAAAATATCCTGAGAAAAGTGCAAGCAGAGACAAACGCAAAAAGGTAAGAGGCAGAAAATCCTTTATTGAAGGGGTAAAGGCAGAGTCACAGACTGTTTTCAAAGTTAAAACCAAATACAAACAAAAGGCTAAAAACCAGAAAAAAATATATTTTCCCCCCTTTAAATGAAAGTCCAAAGCATGATTTGGGTCGGATTTGTTACGCTTACACAGCTCGGTCGGCAATGGCACCCTGATCTGGGGGCACTAGGGAGGAGGGAGACACCAGTCATATACCGAAGTGGTTAAACGCTGAGCAGAGACGTCCCCTCTCCGACCCCGCTGCAGGTCTCGGAGTGGGGATGTGGGAGCAGCATGTTAAAACACAGACAGTCTTTTTTTAATCCTTTTTTCTTTTTTTTTTTTTTTTCTCTCCTTTCCAGACAGCTACTGTACAACACCAAACAGAAATTAATAATAAATACCTAACACAGAGGCTCAGTACATTGCTACAATCCTTCACTGAAGGGAAACATATATATACATATATATATCCTAATATATAACCTCTTTTACTTAAATCAGCGTAAAGGCTACGTGTTTCTACGGGAAGGCTAGGGCAGGAATCCCACTTGACCATCACCCAGACCCCACACCTCAACCGAGCATCGCCACCTGCAGTTCCCCCGCTCCCAGCAGGTTCCTCTTCCTCCTCCTTGCTGGAAAAGCAGCAGGAGTTGCCCACAGCAGGGAGGTTTTTGGATCTATGGAGGGAGTTTTTGCATCTAGGGAGTTTCTGTATCTAGGAAGCTCCGGCTAAGCAACCGTGCAGTGAATATAAAAAAAAAAATATGGAAGAGACCCTTGGCGTGCACGACTCCTGTGTGATAAATACAGACGTTTTCCTTGGCACCGTCTCAGACTGAAATTTCTGACCCATCCTAAATGCTGGTTATGATGCTGGAGAGGAAACACACACTGGCCTTTGAGTTAAAACCCTCACAGACTCAAAGGGGAAAAAGAAAATAACCCTGCAAGGCTACATGACTTTAGCATCCAGCTATTTGGTAGAGCGAGAGGGGGCTTAAATTCCTAGAGATTAATTAGCAGACGCAGAACATTGCCCGAAGGTAGGTCTGAACAAACAGCTCTGCATCCAAACTCTGCAGCTGGCCTTTATTTTTAAAAAAAAAAAAAAAAAAAAAAAGAAAAAAAAAAAAAGAGTCAAGCCCTCAGTACCCTCAGTCCTTGGCTGTAGCCCATTGGTTTCAACAGGAATCATCTATGGGAGATAAAAGCTGAATATCTCGGGTTTTCAAGTTAATGATAAGGTTTCTGGCATGGCTTCAGGGGAGCAGCTCACCCCACAGTCCCATCTCAAACCTGCCTGGCCAGTGAGAAAAGGGTCTCACACGATCTTAAGTCAGGCAAAAGCAACAAGAAAAAAGATTTGCTCCATAACTGCAAATGGGGAAGCTCAGACATTGCAAATTCAAGTCCTTCTCCAGCCCTTCTCCCCTTCCTCGACTAAAAGGTTGTTCCCACTGGAAATCCAACATTTTGCTGCCAAAGGAGGAGCTGAGGCAGGGTAGGGGCATCTGCAGGGAAGCAGCGAGGGGAGCCTGGAGATACCAAATTGCTCATCCAGTGATGGCAAAACCTTCCCAAATTCCCTCCCCACTCCCCAGGGACTGGCTGCTGCCAGCACACGGACAGCGATCGCTTCAAAAGGGGGAAAGTTCAGGGGCTGAGCAGCCATCTGTGCTGGGGCCAGACAGCGGCTGGGCTGGGGAGAGGGGGCCTAGCTCTTCCCCACCGGGAAGGAAGAGCTCCAGCCTTGCCAGGCTCGGTTTTAGACCAAGAATTACTCAAGCAAGGCTGGAGCCTGGCACCAGATCTGAGATTCTTCATGTATCCCAGGAAAGCAGAGGTGAAGAGCAGCACCAGTCACTGTGGTGGGCTGGGAAAGAAGCTCAGCATCTGCAGATCCTGGGCTCACCCCTGGTGCAAGCCAGGTTAGCAAATGATCTCCAAAAATAAAGCAGAGCTGAGAAAATGAGCACTCAGGGGCCTGGAAGCCAAGGATGGGAGAGGAAAGGCTGGCACACCCAAGTGCCGGCCCCAGAGGGGGGACGGGGTACCGCAAGAGGCATTTCCCAGTCCAAGCACTGCAGAATTAGTAATTAATTAATCCTCATGGTGGCCCTGCAAGCCAGATCAGGTGTAATTAAGCCTTGGTTTTATAGCTGGGGAAATCGAGGCATGGCGTTGCAGCTCTAGGAATGACCCTGCAGATGCTGGGGGTGTTTGGGGACAGAGGTTTGTCACCTTGCAAACTATAGACCCAGCAGAAGCAGCTGCGACCATCTCGCCTGTCCTCCCACCTAACATGTGCCAGGATCCAGCCCTCGGCTTGTTCCCCCTTCCAGCCAAATGAGCCAGTTATCTCCCAAGCTAAGCCCACAGCTGATAAAACACTCCTCACGCTCAAGGACACCCAGGCTGCTGTAGGGAGGGGACAGCAACCCGATCCAAGCCTTTTGCAAAGGGATCCTGATTTTATCAGCAAAGCCGCCCACCCTGGACCTCCCTGACCTACAGCTGGGACAGGGAAATGGCAAAAACCAGGCTCTGCATTTTTTTTTTTTCCCAGCAACAAACCCCAGTGAATCATACAAACAGTCTGCACTCATGTTTAACGACAGCTCTTTGGGAACACCTTACAGATACGCTTATTTTTCCCCTTAAATTACAACTTGCCTGCAAGCGGCCAGCCAGAAAGGAAGAAAGAAAGAAAGGAAAAGAAGTGATTCCTCCCCGTTTTGCCGCTGTTATTCCCCCCTCTGAGGTAGACGTCGATGGGGCGGGGATGAACCGCTGGAGAGTGGTTTCTCGTTTAGCGAGCCAGCCCGCGGCGTCCTCGCCGTCCTGCCCCGTCTCAGCACTGCCGCAGCACACAGGCGGCGGTGGCCGGCGGTGGCCCTGGCAAGCTGCATTTCTCCGGGGCGGTGATTTTACCAGCGTAATCGATGCAAGAGGCGTTGCGCGTCCGCACGCCCTCACCACAAGTTTGGGAGCAGGGGGACCAGGGACCCAGGCGCCAGAGCGGGCAGGGGACGTCTCCGCAGGGTTTGATGTCCTCGGGCTTGAGGGCTCTGTCGCAGGTTGAGGAGGTTTGACCCTCAACGTCCCGACAATCCACTGTCCGCCTCTGCCAGCCGGAGCCGCATGTCTTGGAGCACTCAGACCAGTCGCCCAGGACCCACTGGGAGGTCAGCATTGGTCGGATGATGTTGGCCGACTTCTTCTCTTTGCCCTTCTGCTTGCTGAAAGGGACGTCCTTAGGGATGAAGAAGGTGTACTTGACTTTTGGTGGGAAGATCTCGCTGGCGATGGTCAGCAGCTGGACAGTCAGAGGCTCCGGGAGCTGTCGGAAGCTCTGCAGCCTCTCCAGGGTCGTCATGGAGCCGCTGTATTTCAGGATGGTTCCCTTAATGAGGATGTCCTGCTCCATGGCTGAGATGGCAAAGTCTCCATTCAGCAGGTATTTGCCCTCGAGGGTCCTCAGGGCCAAGTAATTCCCATCGTGACGGACCCCTCGGTGGCTGCGCTGTTTGATGTCGATGTTGGTTGCTCCAGCGGGGATGGTGACAATGTCGTTGTAGCCGTATCTGCATGGGGCAAAGGGACACGGTTATTTTCCTGGATAAGAGGAGACCCACTTGGCGAGTGGGATCATGGCTCTGAAGCCGTTCCTCTGTAACCCAGAGCGCTCAGGAGCTGGAAATATTGCATCCCTGCCAGATGTGTGCTCAGCTGGAAGATCTTGCTGAATTACACGCAAAAATGAGCGATGCAATCAAACGAACGGCCCCACGGTTACCAGCCTCGGAGGGAAATTTCCCCCTACTCCCTTTCTTTTGAAACGGATGAAGTGTTTGGGACTAAAAGCCTGGCTCTGCCCAGCGGTGCTGTCACTGGTGATGCTGAAGGATAGCAACCGTGATATAGATACAGAACAGCAGAATACATAGATATAAAAGAGCAGAATAGGAGAGAGTCGGGGTGCTGTGGGTGTTGTACGCACAGGACATACACCGGCCAGATGTTGCTGCTAAAACCAAATCAGCAGTTAAACAGTTAACCCAACAGACATCTCGGTGTCGATGGCTTGATATGAACTCAAAAGCCTTTCCTACAAGACAGCAAGCACTCAGCAGCAAAACCATCCCTTATCCATGAGCGGGCATCTCTGCACCCTGAGCTCATCTTTGGAAGGGTTTTGCAGCCACCACCACGATGCAGAAGAGCTCCTGTTGGAGGGCACAGACATTCCCACACCAGGGAAGGATTGCCCTGCAAAGCCAGCCAGAGCCCATCCCCAGAGCACCACGGCTCCTGGAACAGCACTGGGAAGGCTTCGGTACTCGAGCCCTCAGCACCCAGCACTATGGTAATTACTTGTCGCGACAATAAAATGTCGCTCTGGCGTGACTCATGCCGTAGGGCCAGCAGGATTGTTTTCCACGCACCCCATGGTTGATGCTGTGGTCGGTAATTAGGTTTAGAGTATTTTGGAACAAAGCCTTCAGGTCCAACCCTGCTCTCAGTCACCCTGGCTTCCCTCACCCTGATCTTAATGGGATCTCTTCTTGGCTGTAGCTACCACACTAATCTCTCTTTAGTCAACCACAAACAATTCATAGGAGAGTGGAAGCCCCATTTCAGCTGGCTCCCTGGAAGTAAACGGTTTAGGAAATCTAATTTGACTGTGTGAGTCACCTCTCCACATGGAATTGGACACGTTGGGCTTTTGTTATGACCTTTTCAACAAAGACCTTAAATTCAGCTCTTTGGCAAAGCAACGGAGATCTCAGGCGAGGGAAGCAGCTGCCTTGATGCCCATGTCCCAGGACTGGAATTCACACCCAAGCCCAGGGAAAAGTTACTGCACTATTTATATCCTACATCAGCCCTCAAAATAACGTGTCCAGCTTGCTGCGTTGGGGTGAGATGCATATTGTGAACTCCTCGGGGCAGCAGATTTACTTGCAGTGGTGTACCAAGCCCATCGCCAGTGTCAGCACCAGCTACTACTTTAAGAAACAAACTTTGCGTGGGTTGCATAACGCTGCCCCAAAATAAACTTAGCGTAAGCTCTGGAGTTTGCGAAGCAGAGCAGGCTGTTGCAAGGCCACCCGGCTGAGGGTGTCTGCATGGCTACAAGCCCAAGTTAATGGTGTGGAGGGGAAGCCAAGCACTCCTCAAGTCCAGCTGCTGCAAACAAGGTCTGCAGCTAGGTGTGATGCTTTCGGCACAGAAAGCAAACTGGCTTTGCATGACCTAGGAAGAGTCCTAATATTCCTAACCTTGCAATAAAAAAAGAGAGTGAGATGGGAAGCTGTTTATTCTCCCCCCAGCCCATCTCTGCAGAACCCTTCTCCCCTTACTTGGATCGGTTGAGCGAACCGGATATTTTCCTGCAAGTCGAGCCGTTGCCGCCGCACACCCCACACTTGTCCAACTTCTTGGAGGACCCGACTACGTGATCGCAGCCAGCCTTGATGCACTGCCCGTGGACGCAGATGGAGAGGGTCTCCGGTCCGCACAGCGTCCCGTCGATCACCTGGGGTGTGGAGGAGCAGTTAGGGCATGGCTGTGGGCGTGCGTGTGATGTGAGATGGGGTAACGAGGGGCGATAGGAATTATCATCACCAGCTATCTTACTTTGGCCTCGAAGACTTTAAATTCGCTCCTCCCTCTGGCTCGGCAGAAGAGCTTGCATCGGTCTCGGGGTGACACTCCTGCGTACTTGGGAACCCACTCCAGGAGATTCCCTTCCAGATCCGTAAAGTTGTAGCTGTTGTACTTCTCGCACTGCTGCTCCCGAAAGCTTTTCCCTGAAAGGAAAGGAACGGCTTTAAACTGCAACAGGGGAGGTTCAGACTGGACGTTAGGAAAAAAATGTTTCCCAGACAGAGTGGTCAGAGAGTGGAACAGGCTGCCCAGAGAGGGGGGGAGTCCCCATCCCTTGGGGGGTTTAAGGGCCGTTGGGATGAGCTGTGGGGGGATGTGGGGTAGGGGAGAACTTTGTAGAGTGGGGCTGAGGTTTGGACTCGATAATCCCGAGGGGCTTTTCCAACCTGAATGGTTCTGGGATTCTGTGTGAAAGACGAAACGTGACCCAAAAGCCACGGGAAGCTGTCAGGAACTGCTGTCCTCCTCGGCTATCGTAGAGATGCAGGAGCAAGCTGAGGATAGCGGGAGCACGCAGCGAGTGTGCAAGGAGAGGAGAGATGCCACACAGCTCTGTGGGATCACAGCCCCCAGCAGAAGGTTATTGCTCCCCCCACCCCAAATATGAATACTCAAGGGAGAGCTGAGCAATCCCTGCTCATGGGTTGAGAATAAACGGGAGCGGGAGGTGAGTGTGCATTTGGGAATGGCTTCCTTTGGCCGTGCGGGTGGGTGGCTTTGCAAAACTGGGCTTACCATCGGGCGGGCACTCGTCGGTGTGGCAGGACTGGTATTTGGCGCGCTGGCCCTCGCAGTACCTGCCGCCGTGCTGGGGCTTGGGGCTGTCACAGTGGCGGAAGGAGAACTGCACGCCGCCGCCGCAGGTCCGGGAGCAGGAGCCCCAGGGGCTCCACGGGCCCCAGCCACCATCCACCACCGGCTGCAAGAGGCCACGAGAAGCTGCTAGATCTGTCCCTGAGCCCATCCGTCCCCAACTGCTCGCTCCCAGGGCGAGCAAAGATCTGGAGCAACACTAAAACCAGCTCCTCTCCCAGTGTTGCCCGCTGGGGCCCTAAAGCACTTAAGCACGTACTTCACAAGAAGTTAATACTGACTTCCACCAGTCTGTTCATGTGCCTAAGGTTAAGCTTGGGTTTAAGTACTTTGCTGACTGACTCAGAAATCAGTGCTAATTCCCCCAGCAGGGCAAAAAGTGATGATTTAATTGCAGAACTGCAGCTGCTTGCTCTGGTTCAGACCAGCCCATGCCTTGGCAAAAGACACGGAAGCGTTTATCTATGAGCTGGGCTTGCCAGTAATAAAGATTAATGAAAAGTGCTGTTGAAAGAGAGATGTCCAGAAAACAAATCAGGCAAATCCAAAGCTAGTCCAAGAGGCAGCACCGCCAGGGTCAGAGGTTTGGGAATCCCAAAGGGTCAAGCCCCAGCCCGTCAGTCCCTAACCCCACCCATTACCTGGGGTTTCAGGGCATCCTGCGGGATGCAGCGGCCGTCCCAGCACAGCCCGTCGGTTTTGCAGGGGGTGCCGTCGGCCCATGGCAAGCTGCCATTCTTGGTGTGGCAAAGGGGCTCCCCGCTGCCGGTCCTGCACCAGAGCTGGGCGCAGACATCCTCCTCCGTGGTGTTGGGGCAGTGCTGGAAGTCCTTGCCAAAGATCTGCTGGCATTGCTGGTCCAGGCTGTACAGGGCTCCTTGGCCAGGCAGCTCGGTGGGAAGGGAGAGGGGGTTGGCTGGGGCATCGAGCAAGCAGTCGCCTGGGTAAGGTGCAAGAATTAGGTCAGAGATGCATCAGGGCTTGATGCCATGGGCTGCACCAAGCAGGGGGCAAGCACAGGAATTAGGCTAGAGATGCATCAAGGCTTGACACCATGAACTGCACAAAGAATGGCTCCCCAAACCTCTGCCTGTGGTCAGATTTGACTCCCGCTCCACCCCACACACCCCTCCAGGTGTTGCAAAGAGCCTGAGCAATTAAGGAAAAGGTTGTCTTGAGCGACGAAGTTGCTGAATGAAGCCTTACCGTGCCCTCCATCCAGAAATTCAGTGAGGTACATGGCGCTGCAAGGAGACCAGGGCTGGGTCTTGTTCAAGTGGATGAAGAGAGGGGCCATCATATGATGCTTGCCAAGGGGCCCGAAGAGCCGCTCGCAGGTCTTGGAATCGTCGTGGGGCATGCTGAGCACGTGGCCTGGGGGGCAGAGAGCATCCGTGAGCCACAGCCTCCCAGCCCCAGATGAGGCATGGGCAGCAGGGAGCATCTCTAAGTCATCAGGCAGTTTCTATGGCTGAAAAAGCTATTTGCTTCGATAAATCAGAAGCAATAAACAAAACTCAAGATGTCTCAAAGGTACAACCCGCTGTGTGCAGGGCAGAGCCGCTCAAACTAGTCAACGCATCTCTAGGAGTGGCAAACCAAGGGGGAGAAGTGCTTGATCCCACGCCTCAGCTCACCACATCAGGTAAATCCACCCATTTACACCAACTGTCACTTGCAAGCACCTTTGCTGGTGCAAAGCAGCTTCTACCAGTGCCAGAAGCTCCCCAGTGATGCCCAGGGCTTGGCAGGTAGTACCCAGCCGGGAGATGCTGGTGTTGGGCTGTGCTACATCCCCTGCCAGCAGCAGGGCTGGCCACGCCAGGCTGAAAAAGCAGAAATCCCCTCGGGAAGGGATGTGTTACCCAGTTCGTGAGCCAGGGTGTAGGCTGCCTGCAGGCCCTCGTCCTCGATCACCGAGCAGCTTTTGTTGCGGTCGCACATGGTGCCAATATCGGCCACTCCCAGCGTGTCGCAGCTTTGGTGCCCGCAGAAGTCCTGTTTGGGAGCAGCACCGGGGGGAGTAAGGCAGGGCGAAGGGGTCCCTGTGTTCGGCAGCCGGAGCTGGGCAACCCCACTGGTGCTTTGCACCCCGAATGGAACCACTCCCCCCAAACACCTTGCTGCAAGCTCCGTTCTTTGTGTGGCAGGGGGATCCCTCCTCTCCCTCCAGGGACACCTCGACCCCTTTCCTCTCCCCCCGACAAGCATCCCCAAGGGACCCTTCAAACCTGTCTTGTCAGCAGGATGGCGGTGTCGTAGTGCTCCGGGTGCCGGTCGCTTGGGGGGTTGAACCTTTGCTGCCAGCTACAGAAGTTGCGCAGGGTGAGCCCGCCGTTGTCGGACACCTCCGGCCCCGCTGCCGCCTCGTCCACCACCAGCACCTTCACCACCACCAAGTTGATGGAGTTTTTCAGGCTGGGGTGCTTGTAGATGCGAGCTGCCATGGCCATCAGGGTCAGGATGTGGTTCTGTGGGGAGAGAGAGGGGCAGGTGAAGCCTGGGTGAAACCTTTACCATCAGGCTTTTTTTTTTTTTTGTTAGGAAAGGAGAAATCAGCCTCATTTCTGCAGCCTACCACATCCAGACCGACTCAGGCAGCCAGCTGGGTTGATGGACTAAGTGTTGCCTTTTCTGTACGTGATGCTTTACACCCTGTGCCGGCGGGAAGGATGGGCAGGACAAGCCCACCCCTCCATCCCCTTCAGCCACCGCGTCTCACCTGCCACGAACCCTTTGCACCCAGAGACCGTTCGGGAAAACCTCACGAGTCCGAGTGAGTGCTCTCGCATATTCCCAGAGCATTAACTTTGCCCTGACTGCCCCCGGGTAGGAGCCGCCTCATGCGCAACATCTCCCTGGTGCAAAAACCACCCTCGCATTGCTGTGAAACTCCTGCCCGTGCTGGTCAGCAGGGTTTGAGCCCAACATCCTCAGCAACAAACCAGGGCTAAAGCACTTTGATGAAACGAGCCTTCGCCCAGCAGCATTCCCTGCTCGGGCAACTGGGACGACCAGAGATTACTTAATATGTCAAACGCGCCAGCGATGTTTAGGCTGATGTAAACATCTTATCGGAGCATCGAAATTCCTCTTCTGCTTGGCATCCATTCATGGCCCCAGAGTCAGAAGAAAAAAATGCAGCTATTACACAATATAGTATTGGGAAAGAGAAAGTGGCTTCTCTCCTCCCCAGATGAATTACACCCCGCGGTCTCGCTTCAGCGCCGCTGTCTAATTAAACTGGAAGGACTCGTGGAAACCCTGTCCGATGGCCGAGTTTCACCCAAAATCCTTATTTCCTGAGTGGAGCCAGCTCTGTGCGCTCATCCATCACAATGCTGCCGGGATAGTGATATGCACAAAATGCCATTTTCTTAGCAAATGAGGGAGATGTTTAGGGAGATACTCCCCCCCCAACAGCAGTGGCATATTTGCTGCACCGACAGCCGCTCGCCCAGGGCAGTTGTGGCTATTTTAAATTATTCTGCCACATTTTATTCCGTCACTGGCAGTTCCATGTAAACAGATGTTTTGCTTCAGCAAGACATATCCCAAGTCCTCCCCGGCTCATTATCCAAGGGCAGGCCCCGGCAAGGATGATGGGAGCACTGAATAGACTGGTTTATTTAGACTGGCCAGATCTCTGTGACATGACTCACATCTCAGCCCGAAGCATGTAACAAATGTCACAGAGAAGTCACCGCCGAGGCAAGAAACCCAGGCAAGATCCCCGCAAATGGTCGCTTCAGGGGACTGGGGGAATTGTTTACCCCATGGGGAAAAGTCTATCGGGAACTTTCTAAAAATACCACAAAGCCTCCCTAAAATGACACGCGTGAAGACCTAGCAGCATGCTCTATGCTGGAGCTGGGCATCATGGCATCATCCGTCATTTCCGAGGGAGAAAATCCTGCTCTGTCCTTTTCTAACCCATTACAGGTTTCTCTCCATCCTGGTGGTTGTTACCTGGGAGCTCTCAGTCCCTACTGCAGATCCCCCAGGACACCAACCCTCGTGTCCTTGGGGTTACACCCAGCCAAGAAACTCTTTCAGCAGCAGGAACGGAGGGACTTGGAAAACATCCGTCCGCCTTCCCTCCGCCTGGAAAGCGAAGATGGAAAGCGAACCGAACAAACAGCTATTTAGTGCAGATTAAAAGGTCAAATTCACTTGTTCCACCATCTGGTGTCTATTTATACCCATCCCTGGATTGTGCGGGAGTTGGTTGGGCTTCAGATGGACCCTGACTGCTCCAGGGAGAGCAGCAATCCACCTGCACCGCCTTGGCCTGGCCAAGGGTTTGGAGCTGGGGCCAAAAGCAAATTACGGGATCCCCAGGGCTCAGGAGAGGCTGACTGAGCGCTTTCGGCCAACAACCCGGCTGCGGATGAGCTGAATCCCGCTTGTCCCGTCCTCCCTGTGCCTTTGCAAACAGGCTCTGGCTTGACGAGCCACCCAGGAGGGAACGCCGCCTTCTCTGGGTTTTCCTTCCCAGCATCGAGGCTGAGGATGGGGGTACTGGGATCAGATGTGGGGCAGCCACAGGGCTGGTTTGGGGGAACCCAGAGGCACAAACAACCTTGTTTCTGCCTCCTCACGAGGCACTGCAGCATGGTGGGCGCAAGGCGCTTCCCTGACTTTTCTAACCAGCATCCCAGGAGATCTTGGCAGGATTTCTGTCCAACTGGTAAATACAGCTGGAAAATCAGCCCCTTACCTGCTCTGGGGGGACAGGACAACAGCCCAAGCTGCAGAGGATGGGGGGAGTGTCCCTTCTCTGCCCTATGTGCTGCTTTTATGGCCAGGCATGAGTATCCCAGCTGAGCCACCCCACTGCAGGGGGTTCTACTGCCTGGGGATGCCCCGCCAAACCTCCCTCTTTTTTCCCTGGCTGCAATCCTTCATTCCCTATGGTCTCAAGGAGATCAAATTCCACCGATTTCCCCCCCAAAAAAATAAAGGGGGATGCCCTTTTTCCGACACACCTGCATTACAGCAGCTCAGATATCCCTCCTGCCACAGCATCGCTGCTGCTCGAGAGCCCTGAGCCAGAGACGTGCAGGCACCACCAGCATTGCCCAGCAGCAAACAGCACGTGCAGAGGGTCAGCAGTGGAAAAAATAAACACAAATCAGAGCACGGGGAACTGAAGTGGTTGTTTTTAACCTGATAACGCTGAAGGACTTCGCCTTCCGATACAGGCTCTTGCAAAATCTCTGCTTACGTTCTCCTTTGCAGGAACCCCAAACTGTTTTGGTTTCTTTTTTTAGTTATTATTGTTTTGGGGGGGAAGAAACTGCTCTTACACAGACACTGACTATTATTGTATGTACATAATGATCTAATATCACCGGACCCACCCAGCGCAGGAGGATGGCAGGGAGCACCCGTGCAACACCCCGGCACAACTCGCCTCCCTCTGACACATTCCCCAGCTCATGGAGATTAATGCTCAAACCGACCTGGGGCTGTAGGTTTGTTTGTTTGTTCATTTTTTCCCCCCCTAGAAGCCAGCATTTCTGTAGGGGGGGGGGGGAAAAAAAAAAAAAGAAAGAAACGCTGAGCTTTCTGGAGCGCAAACAGATGGGAGGAAGAAAACACAGGGTCAGATGTGAGGGCTGCCCAACTTTTAAAAAACAACTGGTAAAAACATATCCCAGCCTGTCTGTCTCCCCTGAAGCGATGTCTGCGTGCTGGCCTCCCGGCTCGGATACCCACAGCGGCCGGTGGCCGCCCTGCCAGCCTCCTCCTGCAGTTTGAAGCCCAGGCCAAGAATTTCCTTGCAAAAATGTTGGCGGCAGCCAAGGGAAATGGGGGGCATGCCGGAGGCAAGGGGGACACCTTGCCAGCCTGCCAGTGTGCCTGGCTGCCCTCCTGCCTACCTGGCGCTCTGCCTTTTCCATCTACCACATCATTTCTCCCCCTCTTCTCTTTCCCTTCTTGATGGATATTTGGGGCTGACCCACCAAAGCAGCGGTTAACCCTTTTCAGAGCTGGGGGAAACTGAGGCACACGCAGGACTGCCACCACCTCTTTGCAGGCACGATGCATGTGAAGCAAAAACCCCGTCCTGAGCGCATCCTGGGGCAGGAACGCTGCAGTTTGCAGTTGCTCCTGGGCTGCTTTGGTGGGAGCCGGCTCCCTCCACGCTGCGCCTTTCATACCGAAGCCCTTGATAATCAGCGGTGACCATGCCAGCAGCCGGGCTGAAACGCAGCAGCTGTTTGACATTACGGGGCGAAGCGAGGAAGTGACTGCATCGGCCAGGGGAAGATTTAGAGAGGCTGTTCGCTCCTCCAACCCCTCGCACCAAAGCGGATGCAGGCTTGGGGTCACACCCGGGGGGCAAATCCCAGTGCATCCGCGCAGGTCCCCCTTTGCTTCGCAAAGATCCCTTTTGATCCCACCCCGGGTGCCTTTGGGATGGGCTCAGGAGGGGCCGGCTCCTTTTGTCGAGGGATTAAGCAAACTCACCCACTCAAGCTTCAAAATATCCTAAATCGAGCCTAGGAGCCGGACACGAGGGGACCTGAGGCTCCAGGGTGGCTTTGGCTTTACCTCCAGGGTCACTTTGATGGTCAATCCAGGTGCAGGAGAGCTGACAGCGGGACGCCAGCAGTGCCCCGTGCCGTGCACTCCAGCACCCGCCTGGTTCTAGAGGAAAGGGACTGCAACAGCACTCCCAAAATCTCATAAATATGCCTGGAAAAAACACAGAAGTCAGGTGAGGAATCCTGCCTTGATCAGTGCAATCTGATTTTGCCCTGTCCTCAGTCATCACCGGCTTCTGGCGCTGGGGATTGCAGATTCCGTGCTTGCAAGAGCAAGGGGGAAAGAAAAGGGGATCGTAGCCATCATGTTTGCAGAGGAAAGCTTGGAAACTCATCTGCACCCAAGAGACTGGAGAAATCCCACCACAGGAATCCGATTCTCCTGCCAACTGGCTGGAGATGCTGCGGCTGGTTTTTGTAACCGCCTGTTGCTTTAGGTGTCTCGGCAAACATCCCCGGGGCCTCGACGAGCATCTCCACAAGTGCAGCCTGCAGGTGCTCAGCCCCAATGCCCTTTCCTCTGCACATCACAGGGATGAGCCCCTCCACCATCTCCTGCCTCAGTCTCCCCCACTCAAAACCCCCACTTAATTTTTTTGTTGTCTTGTGGGGTGGTTTTTTTTGGGTTTTTTTCCCCCCCCCCCCAAGTATTTTGGGTCCTCAACAGGAAAAAAATAAAGGAAAAATTGTGTGTCCAGCCTGGGGCCTCGCACCCATCCCAATTTAAGTGGACTCTTCCTAATCATCACAGGTCTCATCCTGCCAAGTCCTCCAAGAGGACTGCTGGCTGCTCACAAGTGTTATTACTCAGCACTATCCTGCTACTAATGCCCCCGACACCCCAATTCCTGCAAGCATCAAGCCAGAAGAATGACTAAACCCCCGTATTTCAGGTCTGGTTCTGCTCGCACTTAGTAATTTCCTCCTGGTTTACATGAGTATTGATGGAGGTACAATTAAGCTCTTGTTATCTAAATTAGGTTAACAGCTGAGCTTGAAGGCTTTGATTGATTAGAAATAAATCATTAATAGCATTTTCCTAACAACAGCATGACATTGATAATACCTTGCAACACTCAAATGCATCTTATAGTGACTATCTTCTACTTGAGCTGTTACAGCTTATGCAAGAAAATAACTGGGAATACAAACAATGCTTGTGACCTTTAATAAATATTTGGTAATTAAAGTGTGGTTACGGGAAGAAAAGTCACTATATCAATATGGTTTCTTCTGACTCAACATTTCTGCTCCCTAGGCATCTCCCAGCCAGCTCTCTAAGATCTCACCAGCGTGAAAAAGCCATCACTTCTTTTGGCCCACAAAATGTAGGTATTTAGGGAGAAGTGCGATGGCTATTTAGTCTCCTGAGTTAGCCGCAACCGTGCTTCTCCCTGCATTTGTGTTGCTGAGAACAAAAGACACAGAAACCCAGCAGGTGGCTTTTTTTTTTTTTCCCCCTTGCTACACCAGAGCTGGTTGAAGTTTTCTCCCAAATACTTAAATACGCTATTGCTCTGATCATCCCAAACGAGATCTTTAAATGCTCCTTTCCCATCAAGAAAAACCCTGTGAGATGATGCAAAGATATAACTCTTGGGGACAAAGAAACAAAGGTAAAATGGGAGCCAAGCAGACTGGAAACTCCCTGATAACTAAGGAAGGAGCTGCCATGGACCTTCCAGGCAGCATCACCCACCCCCAGGGCTGTACCAGCCAAACCAGGGCAGGGTACCCCCTCTAAGAGCTGCCACCGCACAGAATTACCCAGAGGGATGTTGCTTTTTCCTCAGCTCAAGCTGGACATTACCAGCATTCCCCCCACCCCAAATATCTGTAGCAGGAGGCAGACCCTCGTGTGTTGTTTTAGAACCACCGGGTGCCCAACCAGCTGCAGAAGATGCAACACCCTTCTTCCTGTCCTCTTGGGCAGTCAGAGACCAGTTTCACACTACGGGGAAGAGTCATTTCCACCACCACTTACATGCCTGTTGCTTCAAAATTCAGATTACTCCATTATAAACTCTACTTCTGACTGCTGTGAGCTTGGGGGGGGGGG